GGACCGACATGTTGGATCCCTGCTAGTGAACCAATTGGTGCCAAAGTGTGTTTTTGGTAGCCAGACCAGCCGTTGCCATCTGGTCACATCTGTTCTGTAAAGGTCTCGTAACCTCCTGGCCTTCAGAAGCAGCTAACTGCTCCTGAGCTGGCCATGGAGGTAGTGCCAGTCCCTCTTGCCAGCTGTGCCTGGGGTGTTGGGAGAGAGCACACTGGGCCTGGGCACAACATGTACCAGAAGCAGATTGTGTAATTTAAATAGATGCAGTATAGGTGACCACATTGTAATGGTTGGGTCTGTGCTGTTAAATGGTTTGGTTTACTGCTTTGGACACAGGCCCAGTGACAATCTGTCCCAAAGGTTACACTTGCTTGTTCCTAAACCAGTCCCAACAGATGTTTGTCCTGCTCTTCAAAATTTTCTATGCTGGAGATGTTCTGAAGAAAATATGTTCCAGTTTTTAATTAGCCATACAGCAGGCTCAGCAGGCTACCTAAATAATGGTGGGTTTTTTTGGTAGTGTTGTTTTTTGTTTGTTTGCTTGTTTTTGCTTTTAAATACCCATCTTCAGAGCATGGTGAATAGCACTTGTATCCCAAAGTCCTTTGGATGTGTGTGGGTATCTAACCTGTCCTTCACTGTGTTGTGGCACCTGAGGAGACACAGGGTCTTGCAAAAGGAAAAGAGGCCTTTAGTTGCTGTATCTTTCAGTGTTTTATCAAATATGGTGAAAAAAAATGAAATAGTATGAGAGAGAGGTGGCCTGTAAGAGAGTTACCAGTTTATCCAGCAAAATGAGGACATATTCTGGTGTATCTGTATGAAAGAAGCAGATTATCTAGATGACAGTGGGTCTGATCTTACTGTGACATCCCGGGGAATGGGACTTGCACAGATTCAGTTTGTTAGGTCAATCTCTGCCAAGTTAATAGATTAGTTAAGCCATAAGGCAACACCTAGCTATTCATTTTTCATTTATTTTTCCACGAGATGATAAATTAAAAAAAAAATGACTGATGTCTTTAAAAGCAAAAGAGCTGGAAATTTTCTGAGCATGACAGGTGATGCTTGTTAAATTGACATTAAAAAATGATACTAGAAAATACTTCTAATTTCATAATAGAAATAGAAATCAAAATAGATGTTCTCCTGGCAGAGAACAAAACCTGAGCCAATTGAAAATCCTAACAGAAGCAGTACAGAGTGTTTTCACTTGCTGTAAGCTTCCATCAAAAGGCTTCTCAGTCTTCCCTGCAGCAAAAAATATCCTCTGCTATGTCCACTAGCATGGTGTGAGAACAGGAGATGTGCTAAATTCAGTCTAATTAACGGGCAGGCACCGGAGGTTTAACTCAGGATGTAAACTCATGTTTGCTGCTGAAGCTGCTGCTGCCTGGTTAGTAAGTGAAAGACTTTTGGAGTGGCCAGGGTGAAAGGTTGCTCCAAAACCACATGCAGTCTGTCTGGGATTTCAGGAATGTTGATTTCCTGGAGTACTGACACAGCATGCACTGGCTTTACCTTCAGAGTGTAAACTTACAAAGCTCTGACTCCAAACAATCTCAGCTTTGGTGGGCATGCATGAAAGTTAGGAGAAAGGGCCTGCATCTATGAGAGGTTGATTTCTGAACTCCATTCTAACTACAGCATCTTTTGCACCCTGCATTTGGAACATAAACCCATTTTTGCCTGGCTGCTGAGGAACTGGGCTCTATGTGATGAGTCTGCCAGTCTGCCTTTTTTAATTCCCTGGTGGTTTTGTTGCACAGGCTGAGTTCAGCTCAGCTTGAAAGCCAAGCTGCCTGGAATGGGGCACTGCCTTTTGGAGGGATGAAGGGTTTTCACCCTGTGGAAGCAAGATGCACTAATTGGCCTCAGAGCTGATGTCTAAATTTTAATTCACAAGTGTAAAAATAATCTCTGTGTCCTGAGACAGGGAGTGCAGTGTGGCTGAGATTTGCTCTGAATAAGGACAGCTGCAAAATGATCTGTGTAGGAGTTTAGGAGACCTGATTGTGTAACCTGTGAAGAGGATGTGTGAGCCCTCACATTTGGATAGTTTGCCCATAACTCCCCTGAGCAGTGGGGTGTACGTACTGTCCCAGCAGCTCCTTCCCCACCAGAGAAGTTGTGGCTGTTCTCCACCTAGAAATTTTGCTGCTTCAGCAGACCAAGCATTAACTGGGGTGAGCTACACCATGTACTTTTGAGTCTAATTGCTGCTGTCTTGAAATTTAATCTTTGCTCAGTAAGAAGTGTGTTTCTTACGGTGCTTTAGATGAGAAAAGTGCCCAGTACAAACGGAAGTATTTTTCCAAAGCAAAGGGATAATTTTAAAACTTAGCTTACGTCTGTCACCCTGGAGGCTCACTTCTGACCTGGGGCCTGTGCCTGTGTGGTTCCAGCTTCTTGAAGAGTTCAGATGATGGCCGTCGAGATAATTAGAGGGCTAAGAACTCGTGACTTTAAAAGAGAGACAGGGAGAACTAGTTTTGTTCAGTCTTCAGGCTATTAGGTTGCTGTTGGGGGGTGTAGAGGAGGCAGAGATGGCATCCTGGAGGTGCACAGGGATAGGACAGCAAACAACGGGTACAAGTTGTAGAAAAGGAGAATTCAGATTAGATCTTGGGAAGAAAACTTTTACTGTGGGAACAGGCAGATGTAGGAACAGGAGTGCAGGGAGGCTGGAACTCTCCATCCTTGAAGACACAGGACAGCTCAACAGGATCAAGGATGTGGGCCCCCTGGTCCAGGTTGTCTGTCCTTTGGGCAGGCTTTTGGACCAAGTGACCTCTGGTCAGGTCTGTTTCAACCTGTTGTTCAGTGACACAGCGTCAGGCATGAGTTGCAAGTGCAGCTCCCTGTGAACCAGCTTACCACTGGATTTGCAGTCAGGAAGGCATCTTTCTAACGTGTAATAGGAGCCCAGGAGTACTAATACCAGTTGGGTGCTGGGGAAGGGAATATAATAGCTCTTTCTGCCATGTTTTGTTTTTTTTTTGTGTTGGCTTTTCAGCAGATGGTACTTTCTAGATACCTGAATTGAAGGTTGTGCAGAAATGATTCTCCAAACAGTATTTAGGGGTTGTTCTTTCATTAGTTAATATCTTGTATACTAAATACTACCAAAAATCTCGTTTGGTTTCTTAAGTTGGTGCCTAGTTTTAACTTTGTTGTGATACAGCTCCCCAGTTGTCAGATGGGGAGACCATCATCACTTCTCAGGAGCAAGGCAGTGATGACTGTTGTAGAGCTCCAAATAACATAAATAATTCTTCCTTCAGAGCATGATTTGTGTCCTGATACCCATGTATTGCAAGAGAAGCAGAAAAGAAAGCAAAGCTTTGGTCCCTCCTGTGTGGAGGGGCTTTTGGATAAACCACAGGCCATCATCAATCAGTTGGAACAGCTGTGCATGAAGAGACCAGCCTTAACTGCAGCATTTCCTAACTTTCCACATTGTTACTGCAGTGCTTTCACAATATTCGTGTAATGGTTTTGTGTTTGTAGGTATAAAATACAGCTTAAAATTGGAGGTATTTCTACAGCATTCCACAGGTAGCTCTCTTTGCTGTTTCTGGCAGAACCCAGCTGACAGTCTGTATTACAGCAGCTGCCACATGCCCTGCAGCCCAGTGACTGTCCCTCATGCCCTGAGCTCAGTTCTGTTCTCATCACCATCCATGGGAGTTTGAGCCTTGCCTACCCCACACGTCTCTTTTATTGAGGTCCAGGTGATGTAGTCCAGCTCAGCAAAGAACTTGTCTGCCAGGCGTGTGGTTTATACTGAGGGCACAAGGGCTCTGCTGAAATGGGTATCTTAGAATCTGGAAGATGCTTTAAAAGAACAATGGAAACAGTAGACATTGGAAGCCCTTAAAAACAGTGATTTTCAGGAAGGTGTCTGCTTAAATTAATGCATATTCTGAGAGCACTTAGAAGCCTTAGTGAACTTTGGAATGTGTCTCAGTGTGCATGCTATCCCATCTAGGGGACTGAAAGGTCAAACGAGCAGGATGTGCATTAACAGAGCAGAAGCAGGAGGCTATATGATTAGTACTGAATAAACCCAGAAGCAGGGGAAATAAAGCCATTCACTGCAACTATCAACACATACCTGATTTTTAATAAACCTGCTCATACTGAAAGGCTGTTTTAAAACAAGAACAGGGAAGTTGTCTTAGGGAGCACTCTGAAGTTCAGATTCTCTGGACTGAAGGCTGCTTGTCCAACCTTAATGCATCTCTGTTCTGTGTGTGCATTGTCATGTCTTTTAATGGGACATGTCCAGTGGGGAAAAGATCTTGGACTTAAGTGTAGTGGAAAATTAGATCTGCTTAACACCACTTGCCTTAAAAGCCTATAGTAATACATGAGAAAAGTGTATTTGGTGTTGAGGGCACAGTAAATGATAGCAGGAGATGCTGTGTTGGAAGTAGTACTTTTCAGAGGTAATTGGAGACATTTATGAGCTGCAGAGTCTTAAGACTGACAGTGCTTTTGAATGCAACTGATTTTAGGAACTTTTGAAGGTTGTTACAATTGTCTTTTAGTAGCTCTGCACAAATATGGATCAGCTGTAAATAAATCAGGTGGAAATCCTGGTTCTCTGAAGTTGTTAGTTTGTGAAACAGGGGAATACCCTCCTGCTGCAATCTCCAGTGTCTCCAGAACAGTCAGCAGGC